GATCATTTAATTTTTACTATTTTAATTTCTGTCTATTAAGAAGCTTTGTCTCTATATTTTAGGTATATGCCTGTGACTACTTATATCCCTACCCGCCAGGAAACTTAACTTAAATATTAGAGAACACAGAGCTATGGGTGTTTCGGTGGACTGGAATCGCCTTCGTAGGTATCCCATAGTCCGCATATGGCGTCTCGAGTGCCTTAACTTATTTCCAGATCTGGCTTATCATGAACGCTGATCTATGACTCGAGAGTTGGCCTGCAAATGGAGCTCGGATCTTGGATCTTGGATCTCGGAATGGAACGTTCGCGTTCGCTGACTTGGCTTCGAACTCATTTTCTAATTGCCCCACGGTGGCCGAGGAATGTCTGTCTATTCATTCGCGGTCTCCTACTCTTTATGTTACTGCTCACTCTGGTATGTGTTTATTTCGTTTCGTTTTTTCCTGTTTCCACGCAGGTTTAATTACCACATAGAGGGGGCTTTGAGACGTGCAAAGTTCGAATCGGCATTGGAATCTCAGTTTTCAGCATTTGCATGGATCCCATTCCCCGAGAAAAAAAAAGGGGGGATAGCCGTAGACATGCCGATCGTCTGCTATTTTAATTGAGTTCACAAATGTTCTGAACCGAACCCCATACACAGCTGGCGATCGCCCCCTTTTTTCCCCCCATCTATTGCTGACAGCTACGTGCTGAGCCAAACCCCCTTTTACCCCGCCCCTCACCTGATGGTTAGTTAGTCGGAAATCGAAGCAGTTCGATTATTCAATACTTTCACAGTGCTTGTGGGAAATTAATACATCATCGTGGCCCCAGGCCTCCCATCCCAAGACTCCCAAAACCCCCCCTCGGAGTTGCTTCCCCTTTCTGGGGAAGGCTCTAATTAAAAACTGGCTGAAACAGGTGTGCGCGGGAAAAAATTGGAAAGCGGGGCTCTAATCCATCAAACAGTTTTGGCTTTATGTCGGTTCATTGATTAACCAAAAGTATTCCGTTGGGGTCGCTGAAGATCGTGTGATGGTAAGCTGGGCTTTAGATATCGATCATAGGGTTATCTAAAACCTATTTTATATTCATTCATTAGGATATATTGGAATGGTGGCCTAAAACATTCAGCAATCGTTTTACTAGTTTCAAGCAATAATCCACAATTCATTCGCGTTATTTCTTGATCCGAATTTCCTAGATTTTCTTTGTCCTTCTCAAAGTGAACCGTTTAAAATTGGTTTTATAGACCGGCCGACCCATTCCAGTCGATCTCCGCTGAAGATATCAACATCCGCACATCCCTCTGAGTTTTGCTTTCTTGTCGGTGAGCACTTGCCGGAGTTCCTGAATCACTGAGCGAGGAAAGAAACAGCGGATGAGGCCGAGGAGTAGGCTACCTGGGTATTGTTACTGCGATTCCCTACCTGTGTCAATGTCAGACTTCAGCGCTAAATTGTCGCTTATTAAATGTCTCTCGTCCCGCCGACGAGCCACTTTATCAAAACTCAAGAGGGCGGAGATGTACGAGATAAAGGAGGAAAAGGCGGAGGTAGCCGAATTCCACGTAACCGTAGTGTCGTCTGCGGCCCATTGTCGAAAATTATGACTTGTTTTGGGATTGGAGTGCAAATAGCCCACTTCCTGTCTGTCTCTGTCTGCCGTCTCTTTCTGTCCGCCGGTGAATGCCGCCGTCGCCGCTCCAAAGTTGCCGTTCTCATCGTCACGGACCGCCGATGTCCCCGCTGATAAGGAGCAGTTCGGTTGGGGGACATTTGTATATGCACTACTGTCTTCGTCTCTGTTTCAACTTCTGCGGTTAGTTTTGGATTGATGATGACAATGCTCTCTCTAAGACGAACTACTATTGTATAGCATTATTGTGATCATATTGAGCAGAACCTAAGCCGGCTTAAAACATCACATTAAGGAATGTATTATAGATTATTATTAAGTGTATATTTATAATGTACATTCACTAATTATCTATAATATATTCCTTGAAATTTTCCCTTTCATATTGAATTAAGCATGTTTTCTGTAAATATAATAAAAGTCATATTTCGAACTGCTATTGTACTGTAGACTAGACCTTGAACAGACTGGAAATATCACAACAAATATAATATAAACACATTTTTAAACTTTCTTTTATAGAATCGCATTCCCCGTTTCTGATTACCAATATCCAGAGCAATTGATGTGCTTAATTTGAGATATATTTTTACTGCTACCGATGTCTTTAGTGCCTGAGATTGCCTCCTTACCCCGACTAAACCCAGAATTGAGGGACCTGTGGGCGTGGCACCATTCAGAAGTACACATGTGATTACATTGTGCTTCCGTTTTCTGTCCCTTATTCTTTATGTTAAGCTGGTTCAGTACTACCTATTCTTCTTTGCCATCATTTGTCTTTTTTCGGAGCTAATTTACACAGTGATGCAAAGGCGCCGCTTGAAAAAAGAGCTTAGATGGGCCCGAGATGACCCCCAATCTCAATACCAAACGAAAACCCAATCCGAATCGGAATCCGGGCCAATTCGGCCTGCAATTACACTTCCGCTGGGGGAGAGCGAAGATCACAATAAAGGCGAGGAGAAACATAACCCCTTCTCCCTGAAATAACCTCCCATTCATGCCTTCTCCGCGTCTCAGGCTCATTCACAAGACTTGGAGTCGAGTCGAGAGTTCAACCATTCATTCATTCACGTTGATTGCCACCTTTTCCCGATCTTTTTTTCTCCTGCCCCACGGCAGCCTCTTGTGCTCCAATGATTAGTCTGTGCTAATGAACAGGCGGCGGCTACCTAGCAAAAAAAAATACAAAAAAAAACATCCATGAAGACCAAGACCAAGAAAAAAACCCGAAAAAGACACAAAACACCGAAAAAAGAGCGAGAAAAAGCGAGACAAAGCTGCACGAAAGCGGCAAACAAACAGAAATCAAATCCAATTTATGTTTTCAACATTAATCATAATTTTTTGAGGCCCATTTCGGCGTGGCGTGAAATAATTTTTATGCGCCGTTTTTACGGAACCAAAATCCGTTTCGGAATCGAAATCGAAATCCCAAGAGGAAAAGGTGTCAATGTCTAATTTTGATGCCAAATGCACTCGGAGCATTCTGTTTTCCTCATTACGACTGTGAGATATGGTGAATGTGGGCTGGATGGAAACTAGCTCAGTGGATCAGTATTAATGATGTGCGAGAATCGATCGCGATCGTTTTGGCCATGAAATTTAAGCGCAAAGAATAGGAAAATTATGGTTCAGAGCATGCGGATTGACAATTATTAAAAAATAAAAGTAAAAAGTTTCAGACCTAAAAAGTTTGTATTCTACAAACTATTTTTAAATTAGTAAGCAATGGGTGGCCCATTTGATTGCTTTCCCAATCATGTCTTAAAAGAATTTCAATGGCTATCTCATTTAAGCCTTTTACTTCCCAACCCAATTATCTCGTTTTATTCTAAAACATTTCAAATGGATTCAATTTAGACCGATTTCCCAATCAAAAGGACCTGTTCTGGCCAAGTTTCAGACCGGTAGCTCGTCAGACTGATCAGTTAGCATGGAACCTGGGAGGCCACCATCGAATAGATCTCTGATATCGGGGGCGGGGATCCTGACGCTGGGCCACTTGAAAACATTTTTTTTTAAATTTATTTTCCATTTATCGCTTTATTTATTTTCTACCTTCTTTCAGTGTGGCCCAATCTTTTCGCTCCCCTCAATTCACCTGGTCTATCTGCTTATGCGATTAGAGTTGCAGCAAAGGAGCCCGGGAAGATGACTATGTGGATGTGGATGGTATAAGATTGGGATTGGAAATGGGAATGGGAATGGGAACGATGACGGTGATGATGATGATGATGCTGCCCGGCGTGTTTATTTTTGTTTGGACCCAAAGACCTTTTTGTTTGTCTGCTCTTTCGATGAAGAACAAGACGCAGCGAAGGAACTGTATCTCAATGGGCCACAATCGAAAGTAATAATGAAATCCCATCAACAACGAGACAAAGGCTCTCTGACCATTCTCATTCTCATACCCATTCCCATTCCCAGTCCCGTTCCCATCCCACTTCCAATCCCATTCCCTTCCCTTTTTTTGCCTGCAGAATGAGACGACGACACTTGCCTTGATTTTTATTGTTGGGCTTTTCCCCCTGTCCATTGATTTATTGTTAGCGGGAAGGGGCAGGAAAATGGGAATGCTCTCCGGTTTTGGTTTTGGCTATGAGTCCGGTTCTCTGGATATACCTCTGCTTCTCTTTCTCTCACAGATGCTCTTGTTCTGCGACCAGCTGCCTGTTGCATTCCGCTCTCTCACCTTTTGCCAATGGCAACAAAAATGTGCGTGCTCAAACTACAGTTGAAGTTGACTAGGACGAACCGTGGAATTAATACTAATACCCTGAGCTGAATATATTTACATTCCACAATAATTTTTCAAAAATATTTTAATTTTTTAGGAAACATCTTTTAAAAATATTTTTTAGTTCCACATTTTTTTTAGCTTTTTTATTCCCAGTTTTAGAGAACCCACTGTAGTTGTGCATCCTTTTCCTATCCAGAGTTTCTATTCTGGTGCTCAGCATATAGACAGTTCATTAATGTTATCAACGAGCAAAAAAGGGGGAATGAAGAATGGTTAAAGACACCCCTCTCTACCCCACCACTAAATTACTGGTTTGGCTCTCCACTTTTCTGGTTTGTGTACGCGCTGATTTTGATGTGCAACACTTGTTGTTATTTTTGTTGGGGGCCTGCTGACACATAAATGTAACGGCAATTGGCAATTGGCCATTGGCCATTGCCTCTTGACCAAAAAAGGACATAGCCACATGGGCATCGCGAAAAACTTGTCAACTGGAATAGATCGATATGGCAGTGGTTTTTCGATGAAGGGGAGGGGAAGGGGGTTTTTGTCTGATTTACGGACATTTACGGACTGTACTGACCAGATGAACTACTTTCGAGCGACTGGCCATTTACCGTTTCAAAACTCACCTGTTGGCTGTAATTTCGAAGGGCACGTAAATCCTCTATACTCCTCTCCTCTGCTCGCCGATCTCTCCTTCTTGTCGCACGCTAAACAAACGGTAAATACTTTGATTAGATTTTGATCACTTGACGCGGCATTCTTGCGATTTTTCCCATCAAACAAAAAAACAAGTAGTAAAAGAACAATAAGAGCCGAGAGGAAAGGCAACCCAAATAAAATAAACCTATTAAAATTTAATGGCATTTTCAAAGCCTTTTAAACACACACGAGAATACGGGCGATTGGGATCGGGTAAATTGAATTTCGTGGCTCTAAGTCACATCCGCCGAAAGCCAAAATACGATATATGATATATGGGGATCACAACTGCACCATTTCCATTTCCGCGCTTTTTGACAAACAATCGAAATTTATTTGTGTTCCGCCGAGAACATAATTTACAGTTATTAGGTGTTTTTCAAAGCGACGCCGCTGCCTTTTTAGCCGGTTGCCGTTTTAAAAATAAAAACAAACTTGGCACACGCACTTTTCTCGCTCTCTCTCTCTCTCTGTGATATGGGAATTCTCAAGGCTCTTGCACTTTTTAATACAGTTGGGGTAAACAGTCGAGCACTCACAGGGTATTTTGAAACAGCCAAAAAAAAGGGTAAGCAAATAAAGGTAATTAGCACGACGCGGGCGCCAAGGGTTAATATACACTTCTGGTGTCTTTTCCCGAAGGGCGCTGAACGCTGGATGTCCGCACACACGACTTTCTTGCTCGGCGGCGCGAAGCGAAGTGAATTTTTTTCAGCTGACAGCAGACCACCGCGGCAGCGTTGAGATGGAGAGAGGGAGAGAGAGAGAGAACTCTCGAGTCGAGAGAGAGAATTTCACGTGCCAAGTTAAGAATAATCTTTTAAGAACTGAAATATTATGAAAACCATCAATAAAATATTATATTATGTATTTAAATATAACCAAGCCAAAACTGATCGTCATTCTCTTTGAACTATTAAGAGCACTCTTTTACTACAAAGTAATATTAATTTTTTTATTAATTCCATCTTTTTCCACCCAAATAATTACGGTATAATTACCTTTTTTGCAGGAAAGTCCTGGAATCACTTAAATATGTATGGAGTTTAGACCTTATGCATGAATGTCCCGCTCCTCCCGCAATTAAACACCTTGAGAATTGTTGTTGATTTCATTTTAATATATCTTCTGCTTTTGCTTTTTATCCACTTAACGGTTTTCGTCGTTCACAATAGTTGCATTTATAGTATTTCATTTATCATTATATGGTATAAATTTATATTTATTTAATAACGTGTGTGTGTGTAGGGCCAATTTCCGATTTTCAACATTTTACACTGGGGTCACAAAAAAAGAGTCGTAGTCATAGTTATAAGCTAGAAACTAAAATTATAATTAAAATGCCGTCACTATTGTGGTTGTTGTGGTTGCAGTTGGCTAGTATGCGTTGTTGTTGCTCGAGTTAGTTAGTTAGTTCTTAGGGTTCTAGGCTTTATCTGTATTATTTGTATTATTGTTTCTGTTTCGTTTCACTTCTCGCATGGCGCTTTTGTTAAATAAATGTTTGTGATATTCGCTTTTTTCTTGCTACAATCTTTAACCTAGACTTAAGGATCGAAGAAGCTATCGTAGTAGAAGTGATCGTTTCTCTCTTTTTTTTGTTTTCATATTATTTTTTCGCCATATAACATTCAATTTTTTTGTGTTTTTTGCTTGGGGCTTATTCATATGTTGTATATATAAAAATTGTTTTTCTTTTTGTTTCTTTTGTTAATGTTTAATTAAAAAGCTAATTTCGGTTGCTGGTTGTGTCCTCAGACGACTGGCGGTTCGGTTCCTCCCAGGGGCTCGTCGTGACTGGTGAAAACCAAAAAGAAACCAAGGAAATCATAAATAAATTAGGGAAAAGAAAGAACAAATATTAAGGCTATATAAATGAAGGGTGTAATAGTAAAGAAACAAAATAAAACCATACAAAAATGGAAACCATGATGACGATTCCTTAATAGGACGTTTTTCTAAGCTTGCGAACGGTTATAACAATAGTATTTGTGTATTTAGAGGTGTAAAAGTTGGTTAAAAGCCTCGCTAAACTGCATTTTCAGACTTTGACTCAACGCGAAGAACTTTGATTTCTCCTTACATTCGATATCCGATTTTTACAGACCATAATATATTCATGTAACTATATCATTTTTGTTTTTACTTTTAATATTTATATAAGTTAGAGTACTGAGCAACTGTACGTTTCAGAATCATCGATATTTATGGGAAAAAATTAATAATGATCTGATAAAATATTTAAATAATGCTGGATTAATTGATTTTTTGAGATTGATTGAGATCAGGTAAAAAAAACTTTAAAATAATAGCTACTTATAATATATAGGGATTCTTTACCGTATGGAACTGAAACGCACTGCCCTTCAATGTAACATAATAATATTAATTTGTAGTTTTTATAGCTATAGTCACAAAGCAGGTTTAGTTTCAACTACATTTAGCTATAGCTTCAGTATCGCGGGAATAATTGATCCGATATCCTTTTCGAGCGTTTTTTCTATGAACATGTTCATGTTCGACTACCTATCTATGCAATACTTTTCTATTTACTGATAATTGGTGTCCGAGTGTGTTTAGATATATAGCTTTAGAGTTGTGTGCCCTGAGCTTGGCTTGGAAACGAGAACAATCCAACTAGAAGTGGTTAATACTAGACAAGATCTATAACAATACCATGTATGTATATTCCGCATATGTTCGATTCTGTGCTAACTAATTGACTATGAAAAAAAACACACTTAGAGTCTTAGTATCCTTTAGGATGGCTTAATACTAGTCGATTATCTATGTTCGTTTATCTGACTGTGGTACTAACTATACTGTGTATAATATAACATGATATTCTGCAATGATATGGCACGATAATTCCAATTGTAACACCTCCGAATGTTTATGACTATATGGTAAACGGTTTGGGTATGCGGCTATGACACTTACTAGATGTTCTCTTTTTAAATACAAACAAATTTGTTTGAACTAGATTTACAAACGTTGTATTTCGAACAGGGAGATTTTCCACATAATTTAGGATTAGGATTAGGATTTGAAATAATGTCGGTACAAATTCTGATATTCAGCTAGAAAATACTAAAAAGCAGGAAAACATCTAGCCAACATTGATCAAAAACATAAAGTACATCTCATTAGACAAATGATCGTTTTTTCCGACTTTGATCAGTGCCTTTCAATCTTAAAGTGTCATAACCGCCTTTCTTTTGGGTTGACGAAAATGGAAGAAGATTCCTTTCACGTTTAAGTAAGGGGTACGGTACAGTTGCCTTTAGCTAACTGTTGGCCTTTAACGACTAGTCCATCTGTTTGATATCATTCCCATTAAGACCCCGATGAATCGAGCTTAGCTGGGGGCGGGCCACAGACACAAGGATATCACCGATGGGCGGCAACCCAAGAGGACGATCGATAGCCCCAGCGATAACGACAGAGCCACTCGATGGGCCTTGTTGGAGTTATGTTCATTGATCTTGGGACGCGGATAGAAAATATGCACCGGCGGTGGTTGATCCAGCGCGTCGAAGAAACTCAAGTCCCTGCCATCTACTTGGTTATCCATATCTAGATCATCACCGATCTGCTGGTGAACGAGGCTAGAAGGATTCCACAGACTGATTGCAAAAGGGCGGAGGATCGGTTAGACACAAAAGCTGGGGAACTGTTCTCAAGCAAGATGATGGGGATTACTTACGCGGGACAGACGTTGACATTCACTCCATTGACGGCAACTGAACTAAGGTTAATTTGGCCAACTTTTTCGCCTTCGATGACCACGATGCAGCCGTTGAAGTTGTGCTTGTAGCGATTGCCCGTGAACTGGGCGATATCTGGAGCGCCACCTGGAAATGGAAATAAAAAATTGATTCGATTAGAAATTCGTTGAGGAAAGAGGTTTGTAGAGTGGTACGACTATTAAAGAAAGTACTATATGATGAAGAACTTGAGGTTATTCTATAAGTCAGCCAACACTGCCAGCCACTGTCAGCCAACTTTGTAAGGACACTCACCGACGAACACATTGCCCGGCAGCCTCATCGCCTTCTTGCTGGTGGGTCGGGTCTCACCCGAGTGCAGCATGCGGTCCACTTCCAGAATGGCGGTGTTGTCATCCCGCTTGGTGATCACAATGCGTCGCTCTCCATTGTCCACGCGCTGGTCGCTATTCCGGATGACCGCCTCCTCGCCATCGAGTCGCATGGAGTACTCCACGTAGCCATCAACGACGGCGGCGGCGATGAAGTCCTGTCCGGTGTACTCCTCCCCGGCCTCTTGGCCCCACCAAAAGAGCAGGCCGTTCGAATGGCTGGTGGAGAAGACAATGACTATGGAGGTGTATGTCTGCTCCAGGGCCGGATTGAAGTAGCTGCGATTGAGCTCCACGTAGCCATCGCCGTGGAACGAGGCGTTGAAGCCCAGCTGGATGTCTAAAGAAAATCGAGATGGGAAGTGAGCTTTGTTTTTCCCTTCCCTTGGGTTCAACTTACGCTCCTGGCAGTGTTTGCCGCTGAAGCCCAGAGGACAGGAGCAGACGGCCATGCCCTCCTGCTCAGTGCAGCTTCCTCCGTTCTCGCAGGGATCGCTGGAACAGGCAGCCATCACGTATGGCTGCAGTTCGTCCTCGTGGACATCTGGGGATGGGGGCGGAACTGGTGGTTCATTGTCGCCATCCTCGTCGCCGCCACTTATCTCATTTGTCTCCCCACAGTTCTGGATATTCGCCGCATCATTGATGTCCGCCAAAAGTTGAACGGCCTTCTGTGAGTTGTAGAGCCTGGAGATGCAGCCGTCGAAGCCCTTGGTGATGTTCACATCCCGATTGATCTTGACCGTCGACCGATCGTAACCGCCCACAAAGAGCGGCGTCTTGAGGGACAGAATCCGATCTGATCCCGGGGCCTTGGCCTTGCGCTCTGGTCCATCGCCCACCCGCAGGATACCTTCGCCCAGGCGACGCCTAATCTCGATTCTTGTCCAGCGGTTCAGGGGCAGTGGCTCCGCGGAGCGCACCACCACGGGATCCAAACGGGCAGCCGTATTGATCATGAGCTCCACGTGGCCGCCCCGGAGTACCAGGGCCAAATAGTCGCCGCTGGGCAAACTGGACTCCGCCGTATACAGGATCAGGGAGTCCTCCAAACTCGACGGACGCACGGAGAGCGTTATGTTGACCTTGGTCAGCTTGGGAGTTCTGGGGGATGGCAAATTGAGAAGCAATTAGTGTGTTCAGGAAACAGAATGTCTTTCAACTCACCCGTAGGCCGCAAAGCTGTTGTGCTTGAAATTGAGGCTGTGCTCGCTCAAATGCTCAATATACTGGCATCGATCTCCGGTTCGGTTCAGCGGGCAAAGGCACTCCATGTCGTTCTCCGTATTCTCGCAGCGTCCGGCGCCGCACACTCCGGCGGTGCACTGGGTGCCCTGGACGGCACAATTCCTGCCCGTCCATCCCGGCTGGCAAATGCAGGTGTAGGCCTGCTCCGTCTGGCTCTCCAGGCAGACTCCCCCATTGCGGCAAGGTCCCTGGGCGCAGGGCCGGCAATCGGAAATGCCCTCCTTGAATTTGGCCTCTCGGATCAGTTCCACGGTGCGACCTTGCAAGGTCAGGCGGCTGATGCAGCCCACGAAGCCCAACTGCTGACCAACCGCCTCGTCCGGCAGCAGCTCCCAGTTTGGCACTCCGCCGATGTACAGATCCTCAATCAGGTCCAGTTGGGGCAACTGTTTGTCAGGGTGGAGAAGAGTATCATTATTAGTGGTATTTATGTATTGTCCTTATAGTTCTAGAAGGTATTATCTTAATGCTGTGCATCATGTCTAATAGTTTTTTATAATATGTGCAGGAAATCTAAGCTATTAGCTTGTAAATAGTTTAGTGAGAGTGCACTAATTCGATAGGAATCCCTTGAGGTTATGGGTTCGTACCTGCTGGAGGGTGGGGAAGGCCACCGGATGCTGTTCGTCCACCTGGATGTATCCATCCCTCCTGGAGCGGCTCACTCGGACCGTGTGCCACTCGTTGAGGGTCAGTGGCTCCTCCGCTCGCACCAACAATGGCTTACCGCCAAAGTCGAAGCGGAACTCCGCATAGCGATCCTTGAGCGATAATGCGATGTAGTCACCGCTTCCGCGGGTTTGTCCGTTGAAGAGGAGCAGTCCGTCGCCAATTTCCGGCCGGAAGGTCAGCTCAAAGTTGAACTTGAACGAGGAGTTCGGCAGCGTGGGGAAACTCATGTAGCTGCGTGGTTCCTGGCGGAACTGGGGAATCGCCCCCGTCACAACCAAAATGTTGGGGAAGTCCGCCGTCTCGCCGTCATTGTATACGGCCGTGCAAATGTACGTTCCGGCGTCGTTGGCCTGCACGCTGTCCAGTGAAAGCTTCTCCTGGAATTACAAAAGGTTTGCATTTTTGAGATTATCATCATCGGATCATAAATAGTTCACTTTTCAAGGGTTAACTCTTTACATTTACATTTTTCAGCAAAAATGTTGAAAGTTTAATAGAACAATTGACTAGTTTATTTTTTGCTGTGATTATAGATTCTTAAGGCAATTACAATATATTTGAAATATATAAATATTTTTTAATGTTTGAAAGTTAATTTTTTGCGATCTAACATTATTTTTAAATCTTCATAGTGCGAAAAATAATTGTATTCGAAATATTTGTTGCTATACTGAACGTTTTTAGGCTTAGTGTTACGTTTCTGCGACTTACACTGAGCGAACTGCTTCCCGCTTGGAGTTGTCCGTATTGACGGGACCACCGGTAGGTCGGCTGCCTAGTTTCATCGGCTCCACACTGCAACTCGGCTTTCCCGCCCACCTTGGAGTAGACTATCTTGGAGCTCTTCAACTCATGGGGCTGATCATCGACCTCGAGTTCGTAGCTGGTGGTGTACAGCTCTCCTTCGTCCGTCTTGCACTTGCACAAATAGTTGCCGGCATCGGTTGGGACCACATCATTGATCACCAGGCGGTTGCCCACTTGCTGCAGGGATTCAATAAACGATTTGAAGACATTAAATATTATTGGTTATATAGAGAAGAGTTATCCGATCACGGCTAGATTTCACCAGACAGATCTTAGATCTGAGAGGGTAAGAATCTTTAAATCAATCGTTGAGGTGTGTTAGAAATATTGAAGAATGGAACTGTTAAAGTTCTGCATTCCTATGGAAATGGATTCTTATTGAAACAAAAGCTTATATAGTTTACATGAAAGAATAATTATTAAGATAAACTAACTAACCAAGAAATCGAAATTTTACCTAATGGAATGTAAGCTATTGGGTTTTATCTTAAAGCTCTGACCAAAGATCATTGATCGTAGATATGGGATTACATTGGATGGTATCGTGAAACCGTAATTACGCAAATGAAGAATAATTATTAGGACTAGCAAGAAATAGATGCTAAGTCGAAACTGTACCTAACGGAATGTGGGCAGTTGAGTTTTATATTAAAGCTCTGACCAAAGATCATATATCGTAGATGGATGGTTAGTGGAACCGTACTCACCCGGACATTCTCGCTCAGTGGCGCTCCATCGGCCCGCTCCCAGATGACATCCGTGTAGGTGTCGTCGGAGGAGTAGCACTCGACTTCGGTGGCCTCGCCCACGCGAAGGTTCGCTGACTGCTGGTCCAGTTTCAGGCTGTAGTCGTGGCTCCTTTCTGGTAATTGCGGGGGCGCGGTGGCCACCGGCGGCAGGTAGGCGGGTCTGTAGGGGGGCGGGCTCGCCGCTGATACCGCCAAACCGACGACAGGATACCAGGTACACACACACATTGACAGGGGCGACAGGTCGACAAGGACGTTCACAATTCAGCGACAATTCACAAGTGCATGGGTGCATGTGTGTATATGGTTGTGTGTGTGTGTGTAGATATGTGAGTGTGTGTGTGTAGGTATGTGAGTGTGTGTGTTTGTGTGTGTGTGTAGTGTAGTGAATCACGGAAATGGGAATAAGATAGTAAAAAATACACAGAAAGAGAAAACAGTTAGCAAAATTACAGGTCAAAATTGGAGTTTCAAACAGAAAGAACGCGATACTTATCGAACGATAAGTTGTAATAAGTTATCGGTGAAATTAGCTCTGTATCGATTATTTTATACTTCAGTTTTCTTAGACCAATTTTAGGTCGATGGGCTTATCGTTCGATTCATAACGCAATCGGTTTTGTTTTAGTTGTTTCGATTTGGAATTTGGTTTCCTAGTTAGACAATACATACATATACGATATACATATATAGAAACAGAGAGCGACAGAAAGGGGACTATGTGGATTGGTGAGGTGGACTACTTTTTATGGAGCTACGTTTTACTCAATACTGCTACGAATCGAATCACACAGAATACGAATACATGTGGGGTTACGAATGGGGTCTTTAGGGTTTATTCTGGTTTTCGTTTTATCTCACGAGTCGAATTCTACAGATCTAATTGGGACTTGTGTTACCACTAAAATCACTTCGGTTTTTTTTTTGGGTATATAGATACATTTATAGATACATTATACAAAATTTTGATTACTTAATTATCGTGTGACAAAAAGTGTGTGCGCATATGTGGATGTGTGAGTCCGAGTGTTTTGTATTATTTACACAAATTTCATAAATCTAAATATGGTTATTTTATTAGTAACATTTTTGTCTGCCGCATGCAAATTACATCTGAGGTTAGATCCTGTTAAAAGGCCAACCCGCTGTAAAAATATCGATCGCTTGGTTATCGTTTATCATTATTTGTTATATTTAAGCTAATTTTCAACCCCTCAGGTGCGAGTGCGCCGTTTCTCCTTCATTACATATCGATTGACTTTGAAGTTTGGTGCTGTTGCTGGTTATCGCTGGTCGGTTATTGATAATCGGTTTTCTTCATTTGAGTGCCAATTTCAATCGTACAATTTGGTGCACCCACGAGCATTGCGGAATTAGACAGCGAAAGGAGTAAAGAGAAAGTGTACAGATCGGAAAGGATAGAAATGGAACTGGGAAATCGGATGAGGAAGGGGATTACGGGATATAAATAGGTACAGTTGCGTATTAGATAGCGATACCAGGGCAGAGAGTTGAAGAAAGCTGTTGCAGTGAGGGGAAAGAGATAAGTTTTGGGGACCAACCGAAGCTGCGCTTCCTCGGGTTCCAATCCTTGATGCTTTTCACCAGGCTGCCTTGCCTCTTAATCCTTTTCCAGCGCTTAAAGCTCCCGGATCCCGAGCTGGATCCCGGTTTTCCGCTTCCCTTCCCGGCGATGCAGTTAAACTCGTCCGAGTGATCCGTACAGTCGTAGATGCCATCACACACCATGTTGGCCCTGACACAAGTGTGCGGATGGGAAACGCACTTGAAGTCGCTGGGCTGGCAGGTGTACGAAATAGTTGGTGTCCGGATCGTGGTGGGTCCGGAATTAAGAGGCTTCGTGGGCGAGATTTTGCTGCTTTTGAAGTCTACGACGTTTTTTGGTTTTCGCAATTTTTTGTTTCGGTATTTTCGTTATATATTTTTGTTTGTGAAAAGGCACAAAGTAAAAATTAGCAAAAATTTACAGCCTCCGCAGCACTGAAGCCCTTTGTTAGTGGTACTCCCTGAACCCTATGTTTACAACTTAAAACCCGGGGGACTTAACTATCGTAATGCTATTTGATTACTGGGGATTCACGCATGCTGGAAGGGTTACGATGGTGCTCAAGTGACTAGGTCCATCCTGTGACTAGGTGCATTAGTGGGCGTGGCGGGGTGGTGGGAGTTTCATTAAAGCAACTTGTTACAGGTTTTTTTTTGGAATTATTTTTGTTTCTTTTTTTATATAAAACTTCTATTGCTCTAGGGTTAGGCAGTACATAATACAGATTTAAAGATCATTAGATTAATAATACAAAACAAATGCCAAATAAACGAAAAAAAAAAAAATGTCAAACAAAATAAAAGAATGTAAATAAAATACAAATCATATAGGTATCATATAATGGAGGATCGCTGCGATTATATTTGGTTAGGCGGCGGTGGCTGTAACACACCTGCACAAATATACAGAACCATGCAGGGCGTGTCTTTCAGGGTAACGCCGCCCTTGAACGGATTGTAAGTTCCTGGGTAGTTGAAGTTGCGTCGTTCGATTGATTGATTGATTGATTGATTGCAGTTGCAGTTGCATGCCATACCATTAAATTTGTTTGTGTTTTGTGTGTGTGTTTTTTCGACATAGGTTCAGCAAAAGCGCACACAGTGTACCATATCATTTATAGCATATAGCATATAGCATATACCAATTAAACAGTTTAAGTCAAGTCAAATCAAAGGGTAAATTAAAAATATTTCAACAAGCGCACATGTAAGAAAGTGGAAGAGAGAGAGAGAGATAAGCGTGAGAGAGAAAGAAATAAATATGAAATTAATCAATTAATCCAGTTGCATTCAAACAGTAGGTGGAACTGCAAAACCTATGGCTTTAACGGATTCTTTAAACTGATTCTTCTCTATCTGACTATTTGACTGATTTTATCTGATTCAAGACCAAAGTTAAGTTTATTATTTACAGTTTCATTTGTGCTGGTTTTCTTTGCGTATTTGTTTTCAGTGTGCCTTGGGTGCAAATTCAGTGATGATGTAGAAAGTCGAGAGTCGAGAATAAAAAAGGTTAAGTTTGTGCAGTGCTTATGTCGTAGATAATTAACTTGTCATTGATTTTCACATATTAGTTCACAAAAACACAAACAAACATTGGACAATAATAACCAATAACCATTTGAAAAAATAACATTCAAATTAACAAACACTTAATTGTACTGGAATAAGCCAACACCAAGGGGCAGTAGCGATATGGGGAGAGGAGCCGAAACCAGAGTAGAATTTTAATGTTAATAAAAACGCAACAAAAGTGGTCCAGAATCGGTTAACCGAAGCTCTTAATACCCTTGCAGATCCATAAGTTTTACTGCCGATTCGGTTCATCGAAATTTTGTAAAAACATTTAATGAAGATTTAATTATTGTGGGTTTTTTTAAAATCGATTTAAGAGGTAAATCTTGTTATTTCAGGAAATACTTTTTTTAAACTGGCCTCTGCAAGGGCTTGGAAAATAAATAAAAAGAATATGTTACAATTTGCTTCACACATTTCGCTGTGCAAGTTTTAATGTTAATATTATGTTTTTCTTCTCACTTTTAGTGGTGTTTACTTAAATGTATCGTATTAGAAATGTTTTTGGCAGCCATTTTGGTAAGCTTAAGATTTATCAAGTTGAAAGAATGTTCGTATATAGGTATAAAAGTGTGCGTGTGGTTTATAATTTGGGTTTTTCGTTTTCAGAGCTTAGATTGCTAGATTTTCAATTGGTAAACATAAAATGAAAAGAGGAATTTGGATTCGGACTTTGTTTGCATGCAATAGACTTGTATTATATATTACTACATGATTGGCAGTTTAATTTGTTTCTTGTTTGTGACTCCATCACCAAAGTATTTGCAATGATTAAGATGTCTCCTTTTGATCATTTGTTATATACAGAGTGTGTTCGTTGGACCCTGGAACCGTTCACTATGGTGCTAGACATATTTACACACATGTTTTTGTTTTTGTTGCCTGTTTGTTGTAGATGTTTGGCGGCTGACAATTTCTGATTTTGTATGTACAGGGTGTTTTCTCTGTTTTCGAATTCGTGCTTTTGCCTTTTTGTTGACTTTTTAGGTTTAGGTTAACAGATACGATTACATTGATGTGTTTATATATAGGCGTATTCATATTTATATATTTATATTAAGTGGGGAATTAGTAAAATCAGCGAAAGGTCAAACCTGCTTAAACAAAGCCTAATTCTTGAAAATTCTTCCTTTTCTTATCGATTTTTTGGGATCTCTTACTTATTTCGTTTTACTTGCGGGATGGCCTAGCAAAGATTTTGTTCAAATTTCTTGTTTTTTTTTTTTTTTTTTGGACAAGCCCTTTTGGAAGTGGAGCTTTCGTTTTGGTGGGGTTCTTTTTTTTTTTGGGGGGGAGATGGGAGATAGGTTGCTTGTCGCACAGGACATCTTCTGACTGCGGACCGCCGGATCCGACTCCAACTCTGAGCCGGGGTCGGAGTCCTGGGGCCCCGGAAACCTAACGCGCTGCGATTACTCACTTAGGACTTGCAAGTCGATGGCGATGGAGGTCAGTTGCTGCCCCCTGGCATCGTACGTGGTGCAGATGTAGCGGCCCTCGTCCTCGGGTCGCAAGTTGGTCAGCGTCAGCACCTGGCTATCCGCACGGGCGTTGTACGGCAGACTGCTGCCATTCGCACGGTACCAATTGAACTGCAACGAATGATACCCATGTGGTTCATTAATTTCTTGGCATAAAGTATCTTATTTGAATATTATTCATTTACGTTTCCAAAACGTAATCCGTTTCTAGCGGTTTTACTAGCTCGCTCCAAGAGCAAAAGCCAAAATCGTTCTGTTTCGAGATAATTGCAAATGACTCTAACGATAAGTGTAACTATCATATTCTCTGTATTATTAAACGATTTAGTTAGTTTTAATAAGACCGCTTGAATTGTACATTGTACATTGACTAGATCAAATAAATTCTTTAAGAAGTTTGAAATTGTTGTTTGACTTACTTTAAGAACTAATATCTTCTCAATGGCAGATGACCATTTCCAACTAACCCATTTATATTTTAAGTAATATGATCTAAATGGCATAAAAACAATTTGGATGGCATAGTGCTTCTCCGTTCTATGCACATCTGTTTGTTGGTATATTCAAAGGTAACACTTAAGGTTCTCCGTTGGGAGGAGGCTCACCCGGAAATTGCCGCGAGTCTCCACACCGTACTGGTTGCCCACACTGCACCTGAGCTGGGTGCCATCGCCCTCGCGACGCTGCTCCACCTGGGGCTGCGGGGCAGCTTGGTAGCCCACGGGTCTCTTCACCATCACCTTCGCGATCTCCGATCTGCTGCCATATCGGTTGGAGGCGGTGCAGCGGTATTCCCCGGCAGCCGCCTCAGTGATGGACTCGAACCGCAGCACATTGGAATCGAAGCGAACGTTACTGGAGGTAGGAAAGGTCATAGAAGAGTAAGTTTGAAAATCATTTCCCTTTTTCACATTCGCACCTGGGCAGTGGTCGATTGTTGTCGGTGCTCCAATGCACATCCTCCGGACGCACATTGTCCACCAGGCAGTACACGTCCAAGTTCTGTCCCACCTCCATGGTCAGCGGTATTTTGGGATGGAAGGTGATCCTGGGCAGGGGCAGCAGGACCAGTTCCCTCACCACAGAGGCCTTCACACTGCCGTCGCGGTCGGTTCCCTTGCAGCGGTACTGGCCCAGATTCCTCTGCTGCACATTCGTAATCACCAGGCTATTCTGATCGGTGTAGGCATTCGGTGGCAGTGGTGTGCCATCCACGCGTTCCCATTCCGGTTCCAAGTAGGCGAGGATGTCGCACCTCAGGGTCACATCGCTGCCAAGATCGGTTGCCAGTTGTGCATAGTTGCCCGGTGAGGGGGAGTAGGGCACTTCCGGCCGATTGTTGGGCACTCGGGGATTGCTATCCACGTCGGATGTGTCTGGGAAAGTCAATGAAGTGTAGCATTAACATCCGGTCTTCATCACCCAGAAACAAAAGGTCAAAAACTTGGTCCTGCATTTATGCTATTTGCAGTACACTGAGCTTTCCTTTAAGTTTCTGCTATGTCATTCTATGCAATGTATGGAACCACTTTGAATTTGAACGTTTGAAAAATTAAGATTGAAGAACAAGAACTTTTATTTACTCCATTTTGAGTGGAGTAGATTTTTTTTTTATTAACGTGAGGTTTAGTATTTAAAACTGTCCTTTGTGGGCAATCAATAAATGTAGTGGTGGGATACTTGGTTTATGGCTATTAGAGGGTGGTGTCTGGGACACTGTCCAGCTATATTGAAATTCAGTATTTTTTCTTTTTTTTTCGATTATTGTGTTACCTAAAGGCCAAAGGGTTTCAAAACCTAACCGAAGCCTGGCGGAATGGACTCACCTCCTCCGATGTCGCCCCGTTTGGGCTTAATTTCCACATTAATGTAGGCTTCATCGTTGCCCGCCGCATTGGATCCTTTGCAGGTGTAGAGGCCGGCATCCTCCTGTGTGACAGAGTAGATATCGAGGTTGGCCGTGTTCGAGGGTGAATGTTCTGAGAAGGTTTTGGCGCCGCTATTCTGCGTGTTGCCATGTGTCCAGTACACGGACGGAGTGGGCACTCCGCTGCCCACGCAGCTCAGCGACAGCTCGTCGCCCTCGGTGAGAGTCAAGGTGTTCTGGCTGGGGCTTATCTGCACCATAGTCTGCTCGTGGACGACTATGGAGGCCACCCCGCTGACCTCGCCCACAATGTTCGTCGCCCGACACTCGTAGTCACCGGCATCAGCGACCTGAATGTCCTCGATCCTGCGAGAATATGCAATACAAATGATATTAATGGGGGATTTTTTTTTTTTTTTTTTGGCGTGGAATTCCACGGTTAAGGGGTACTTACACCAAATGGCGGGAGAGCTGGTGGAACGTGTGACGCGGCGTTAGCGGTTGGCCATCGACTCGGACCCACTGGACGCTCGGCTCGGGGATTCCCTGAACGGCGCAGTAGAGGGAAGCCTCGTTGCCAACGGGAACTGTTTGCGGGGTCGAAGGCTCAATATTTAAGCTCGGCCGCACCCGGGCTGCAAACAAGTAAACGACAGTGGTGGCACCAATTAGTATTAGGATCAGACTGTGCGGACCTGTCTTATTACCAACTCCACTCTTGTGCACTTGCATGGCAAAGTTGTACGTTATAATTTAGATCAAATCGAGTCGGGAGTTAAATAATAATATTAGAGGTAAGGGGGCAAGATAATCAGTGTTTGTGAGGGAAGAGAGATAACAAGACGAAATAGAGCAAAGGTATTGTTAGCTGCAGTCTATTTTCTTGGGGGGTTGGCAAAAATTCAAGAGTTATTGCGGTTAAAGACAATTAAGCATTTTACAAACTTCGAGCTACATAAGTTCGACGTTAGCCATCTTTAACCGCATCTGATATCAGCCAAAGTAGCTGCCTTTGTGATAAAAAAATATTGAATGCGTGGATCCCTGATAACTTACGTTCAATGTCGATCATTGTGCTGGACTGGTCGGATCCATTGGCGTTTTCGGCGATGCAGGAGTAGGCACCTCGATTCTCGGGTCGGGCTCCATAGATGGTCAGCACATTGCCGCTGACGTGGACATTGGTTTGCATCTGCTGCAACACCTTAACCCATTTGATCGAAGGATAGGGCGATCCACGGGCCTCGCAGGTGATGCTATAGTCCTGGCCCTGGTTGATGTTGATAACCTCCGGCAAGGGCACGATTTGTGGCCTGGCGCTGCAGAGTGAAAAGAATGTCATGGTATATGAAACTCTGAAGCCATAGATCTATTGCACTATCCTATTTCCCTTTCGAATGTCTTTGAAGACTTCCCCCCTTAAGGAGACTTTCAACTCACCCATCAAGGATCTGTGGTCCCTCGCGCGGTTCGATGTTTACACGAGCCTGCTCGGTGAAGTTGCGGCGGGTGCGATAATCAGAGGCCGCACAGGTGTAAGTGCCCGACTCGCGGACACTGGCATCGCGGACTTCCAGGACATTGCCATCGATCAGGACATTGGCCGAAGACGATAGGGTAACACGGTTGTGGGACCACACGTAGAGCAGAGAGGCAGCACTGGTGAACTGGCAGGATAGTCGGAAAGAATCGCCCTCGTAGATATTAACGCCCTCCGGCTGGATATACAAGCGATCCTGCGGCGGCTGCGGCTGCGGAGCGTTGCTCTGGACATAGACGGTGACGTACTTCTCCTCGCTATTCAATTCATTATACGCCTGGCAGCGATAGCGACCCTCGTCCGATTTCCTTGGCGAATCGAAGATCATGCGGTTGTTGTAGATCCGTGTAGTCTGGGGATCCGCCTGGCCATCCACTCGAGTCCATTTGACTGTGGGCAGCGGGTTCCCTGTCACCTTGCAAATGATCTCATTGGGCTGGTATTCCTCGAAGGTAACGCGGCTAACCAAGTCTACAATCCTAGCTGGCGAACGCTGGATCTCCTCTAAAAGGGTGAATTGTGGGTTAAAGATAAAAAACAGAACGTCAGCATAGGCTTTGAATAAATCGAGTACGTGCCGCAGAAATTTCAAGAGGCTTAAAATAACTTGTTAAACAAAAAAAGAAAACCAAAAAAAAAAGGGGGTCCGAAGAAAATTGTATTACATACATAGATATTCCTCTAATAACCCTGAATATTTAATATTTATAGCGTAAAAAAGCTTTTTTTAATGTAGTTTTTAAAATGTATAATACCGTAGCGTGTCAGCATTTCCTGGGCATATCCTTTGATAAATGCCGCAATTTGTATGAGATTATGAGTACGGTTAGGAATGGGTTCATGAAGGGACAGATAACCAATACTCACGAGTTATGGTAATGGAGACAGAGTCCTTGAAGATGCGATTGTCTGCGGTGCTAACGGCCTGGCAGATGTACACTCCAGAATCGCTGATATCCAGGTTGTACAGATTCAGACTACCGCCTTGGATATCATATTGCTTGGGCATGTTACTGTCCTCCTTGTACCAGTTCACAATGACTGGGGCCTGGGCGATCGAAATAAAAGAATGTTAATAATCACAGCTATAGCTATAGTATATATACCAGATCACTGTAAACTCACATTTGTAAAGCTAATCCAACCGCTGCAGGTAAGGGTCAGCGATCCGCCCACGGGCACAATAGTGATCTCCGGCTTTTCAATCGCCACATTGATCACGGGATCAGGGACATTGGTATCCGGTGCTTGCGTTGGTTCGTTAGTTTCTAGGGTAGCGAGGAAAATCGATTAGACAAATGCTTTAGCACATCCGGAAGTTCCCACAATTAGAGTTCCTTACAGTGTGAGTAAACTCCTCTTTACACGACTGCCCAGCTCATTTGAGCTTTTGGTATTTTTTCGATTTTATATATGGGATATGTGAACAAAGACAGAGCCTTGAAAATACCAAAAACTTAAATGAAAAACTCAGGTCGTGAGAAGAGATCTTAGGAGTGTGTTAGTGACAGGTGGTTGCGGTTTAATGACTCCTATTTGGGAGCACAAAGTCAGGAGATCGTAGTAGGTGTTTAGTTTTGGTTTTCTGAGTCTCCATCCCGATTCGGGGATCACTCCGATTGACCTACGGTTTCGAGGGTTAGGCGACAGATTGAATAACAAACATGGAGATAGTGCGTTTCAAAACCTTCAAAGTTAATAAGTTAAATTCATATTACTTTAAAGGGTTCCGTTTTGAGTATTGTAATAATCACAAACAAGTAGGATATCAATAATGATGATGTTAATGGGGTAGAATGGGGTAGAAAACCATTTAAGAAGTTCAAAGTCTGACAATTTAATCACGGAGTTACTTAATAACGTAGAAAAAGTAATCAATCTAAAATCAGTAAGTATGGTCAGTTTTTTTTTATGATTGTAAAAGACGAAATTACTTGTTAGTCAAGATACAATTGATCTCTCCCACTTTGCGAAGAGAAGTTATGAAGCGCACTATGGAGTTCAGATGTCAGTTTCTAACCCTGGATTAGTGGCTATGATTTTCTATGGTAATTTATGGTCTACTTGAGCGTGTTTCGGGGCCAATAATGGTTGGCTTTGCGACCGCTAACGTTTTAGACTGGCAGCTAGCATACAAATAATATGTTCTACACACAAAGACAGAGGAACAAAATAGTTATCGATGGGGTGTACGAAGAGGATTCGGAGGATCAGGTGTAATAGTTCGGCATCTGTACACAGATAACAAAATCTACTTTTGGGTAAGACAAGTACTAAGACACATAGACTAGCTAAGTGGTTTTTAAATCACCGGAAGATCAGACACAGAGTCAGAGTCAGGGAAAGAGATAATACAGGAGCTAACCCAATTACAAGATTCTGGAAAACTTCACACTTGGTCTACTTGGGCTTTAGGTCACAGATATAAGAGTTAGGATCGCTCTACACACACACACACAGTTCTTTACACATATCTAAGCTAGGAAGATACTATATAGGGGGTGTAGAGTCGAGTTTTAAGTGCACTGTTGTAGGAGATAGAGGCACGAGTATTAGGAAAGCAACAGTTGTGGTGTTCTGTAGACGGCAGAGTGCTTTTCAGAGTGGTTCAGTTCGGTGGATCGAAGTGTCTGGAGCGAACCTCGCGATGGACAGCCGTAGCGCAGCATTGTCATATTTCCTATGATTCTGTTGCCCTTAGATATCTGCAGGGTGTCATTTATCGTAATTGTCTCGTTCGGTGCGATTTCGAACTGAAAGCCGCTGCAACAGAATCCCCTGCTTAAATCACATATCTGGGGCGGTTCTTCGATAATGGGCGATGTGTCTAGAATGTGGATGGATGGGATGTTTGTTGGTTTTGGTGATTGCAATTTTTAGTTTTGGTTTTTTGTTTTTTATATTGTCGTTATCAAAATTTGTATTGATTTCAGAGTTGGTGACGGAGGAGGAACGACGAAAACAAAGTCCGAGAGAAAGGAGAAAGTAAATAAAACAGGTAAGAACTTAATAATCGGTTTAACCGATCGTGTGATACCCGTTACTCAGATTAAACAGTTGGCCAAGGGATCTCTTCCACTGTTTTAGCTTAAAAGAAGTTATTAAAAACCCTTTTGTATACCCTCCTCAATATAACAGTGGCTGGCATACCAAAGGGTTCTGCTGTAGTTCTTGAAGGTTTACAGATTTGATTCTTAAAACGGACGACCAGGCGTTTCTTTGGCCAATTCTGAGTGGGTATTTAAGGCTCATATAGGCTATGGGACGGGATAGATTTCCTTCTGCCACTACATCTAAACTTGAACTTGGACTTGAGAGATCGCTTAGAGTACAAGCACATTATCTGGGCGGTACTCCATGTAGTTTGGTATGCAGAAGTTGGGCTAGAAGGCAAGTGATTGAGAGTAGGGAGAGCGGTCGAAGGACGAATTGCGTATGGGAGTTCCTATACTTGAATTCCTCCACTCACCAATTTCGCGACAGCGATCGCCCTTCCAGCGTGGCTTGCACCGGCACTCGACGTAACCGCTGCTGTCCAAGTTGCAGGACTCGGTGTTGGCGGCCTCGCAAGGACACAGGCTGCAGGATCCGGCGGAACTGCGATAGAAGAGTGGTGAGCAACTCTCACAGGAAGTGCCCGAATATCCGGTTGGGCATTGACACTCCTCGAGATCGATGGCATGCGTGGCTCCCGGCGTCCTTGTGGTCACCGCACTCTCCAGAATCACATTGCCGATCGAGGTCCTCTGCGTGGGCACACTGGGCGTGGCTCGCACCAGTATGTGCTGTAGATCCGTTAGCACGGTCATGAAATCGGACCGGGTTGCCTGTCGTGACGACCCACGATCTAGGCGCTGCCATTGCTCGTCCTCGTGCAGTCGCACACTGTACTCCTCCTGATCCACTCGTTCGTTGTTACTGTACCAGACCAGCTTGACTCCATTGCCAATCAGCACCACATCCTTGTCCTGTGTGTATTTGCCATACGATTCCACCACCAGGTTGTACTGCAGTAGACCGCCGTAGGACATAAGCTGGTTGCCCAGCACGCTTCCCCTCAGACTCCAGTATTTGGGCAGGAAGACGGTGTGCGTGTAAGTGTACATGTTGGTGGATATGTCGATCTGCAGGTTGTCCGTGTCCACAATATTGCCCTCATCATCTGTAATCAAGGGTGGGCTGGAAATGAAGTCCACGGGAATCAGCTGGCGGTACAGAGCCGCCGAACGGCACTGGTTGGACACTCCGGAGCAGTAGCACTCCTTGCAGCCCTCCGGATTCTTGTCGGAAAGCCCGTATGTTCCGGGGCGGCACTGATCGCATCGGTCTCCAACCACATTCGTCTTGCACTGGCAGTAACCGGGGCAAGTGTACGTGCCCTCAGGGTCGCAATAGTTGCAGTCCACTGTTTGATTGTCCGGTCTGTATGGCGGATTCGGTATGGGATTGCTGTCATCGGGTTGGCAGTCGTACGGAGTTCCAGTGGTGGCATCTCCCACATAGCCGGGGGCGCATACTTCACAGTTGGGTCCTTCGGTGTTGTGAGCGCAGCTCTGCAAATCAAGAGGGAAAGTGGAGTGAGTGGGGTTAAGGAACTTGGTCCTTCGAGCCGAATACTTACTTCGCACTCGCCGGTGTCGGCGTTGCAATATTTCGAATGTCCATTGCACTCGCAAGGCTGGCAAAGTCCCAGATAGTTTCCGCCCTCCGGATCGCGGCCGTAACCAGGAGCACACTTCTCGCAGGAAGTACCCAAGTAGCCCACGGGACAGCGACATTGTTCGACCTCGACGGCACGTGAAGTGCCAATATTATTGGCCGTGGCAGTATCCAAAGTCACCTGACGCAGCGAGGCCTCCTTGGTGCTAGTGGTGTACGTGGCCTTGATGTAGATGGCCGTAATGTTGCTGAGGGCCATCAGGACGTGCTCACGGTTGGCAGACACCTCGTCAATGCGCTGCCAGGAACTCTCCTTGATCTCCACGGCATAGGTGTTGTCCACACTGGGGCTAACCTGCGATTTCCTGTAGTGGAGGAACACCAGATCCTCGCCACTCTTTAGCACCACATCTGGGGCACTGTTGCGGGACATTATGCCACTGGGCAGGGGACTGTAGCTCAGAGTGTAGCTCAACTTGCCTCCGTACGAAGTCAGCTTGTTGCCCAGGAACTTTGCTGGCAGACTCCAGTAGAGTGTATCACCAGCATGATCCGCCGACCCTACGAAGCTCAACGCATTGGGTGATACGGACACGGGTATGGACTCTGGGGTGGGTCGGCTGTAGTCTGCAATCAGAGCAAAGCCCTGATTGATGCGCGAACGTCCAAAGGTGCTGGTGACCTGGTCGCGATACAACGTACTACTCTCGCAATCCTGTGCCACTCCGCTGCAGAAGCACTCGATGCAACCGCTGTAGGTGTACGAATTGAGGTGGAAACTGGTCGGTACACAGTAGTCACACTGTTCGCCAATAACCTTATCCTTGCACTGGCACGTTCCATTGCTATGGATTTTGTAGGTGCCATCCACGTTGCACGTATTATCGGGTATCGGGCGACAAACTCCGCCCGGGAGCATCGGATTACCCTGGTAGCCGGATGCACAGTATTCGCACCTCCTGCCCGTATAGCCCTCGTTACATTGGCAAACCACATCGCCATCGGGATTCTGCTGGCAGCCACTGGCAAAGCTATTTCGGCCGGTTAGGGGGCAAGGACACTCCTTGCAGGGCACACCACGTCGAGGATCTCCGTAGGTTCCGGCCGGACACGGTGCCGGGATGAAGGGCTCGCAGTGACCCAGCCAAGGTCCTCCCGGCTGTCTGACATGCCCAGGGGCACAGGACTCACACGAATCACCCACATAGCCAGGTGGACACGTGCACTTCTCCACAAGGGAGGCACTACCCAATCCTTGGTCCAAAGTGCCAGCCGAATCCAAGGCAATATTTATGAGTTCCACTTGACGAGCGGTGGTATCCAGGTAGCCCAGTCGGATCAGAATGTTATCCACATTGGCCAGTATCATCATGATCTCCTCACGCGAGGCCCTGCGGCCATCGGGCTTCATCCATTTACCCGGCACTATGGGAATTCTCACCCTGTTGTTCTGACCAGGCTGAGTGCGCACACTATGGGTCAAAGTGAAACGGTTGCCGGTGATAATCACGTCTGGGCCGTTGACGGGTCTTCCATTGCCCATGTAGCTAACCTCGTAGGTCAGATTTCCACCGTACGACTTCAGCTGGTTGCCCATATAATCCGCGGGTAAAGCCAAGTACGGCGTCTCCCGACCACTGTAGTGAACATTCGAGGCCCTGAATTGAATGCCATGGTGAAGGGTGATCAGATCCTGACCTGGAGCTGCCTCATTGATCACAATCTGGCGATAGGGACTCAGTTCCACACTAACAACGCGGTGCGAAAGGATCGGCGGCTGGATGGCGTAGGTAAACAAATTGGCACTTCTGCAGGAAGTTGACACTCCAAAGCAGAAGCACTTGACGCAATCGTCCGATTTGCGAGCCAGCATATTGAAGAAACCAGCCTCGCACACGTCCGTACGCCGTTGTGACACGGTGACAATGGTGTCCGGGGTTACGAAGACGGTGCCGCGCGAATTAATTATCTCGCACGAGTAAGCTCCACTGTCTTGTATCGTCATATTCGGACAGAGGAGAGTTCCGGTTCCACCGTAGCTCTTCTTAACGCACTTGTCGGGCACATGGCCCCAGTTCAAACGCCACACGATCGTCGGGGTCGGGGTTCCGTCGGCCACGCAGGTCAGATCGAGCGTCTCATACTCCAGCAGGGCCACCGATGGGGGTGGCCGGCGGATCGGCACGGGTACTCCTGCGAAAAAGGTGTCCCAAGGTAATTAGTTCTTATCAAATAGAAGAGCAGCAGATCCATGGCGGAAAAGAAAACCACTAGAGTTTCAATGTCCGCCATGAAGGACCAATAGGTAAATTGTGTCCCTAAATAAGTTTTTTGACCCATTATAACTGACTTGATCTTTGATTGAACTTAAAACGACTTTATCCTACAGATACTCACTGCAGCCAACTTCATCGGAACCGTCCGTACAATCGGGCAACTCGTCGCACTGGAAGCTCTTGGGAATGCAATGTCCACTGCGGCACTGGAATTCACTAGAACGGCAGGGAGAGGCACTTGGTTCCGGATCGCAGGACATCTCATCGGAATTATCCTCGCAGTCGTTCTGTCCATCACAGCGCCAGGTGCGATCCACGCACTTGGAATTGTTGCACATGAACTGGTTGGGCTGGCACTTGCGGCCCAAACTGCAGCTTTGCTCATCGGAGCCATCGGAGCAGTCTGGAACTCCATTGCAGATGTTCGTCTTGTCAATACACTCACCATTCATGCACGTCGACTGGTATTCCAAACAGGCTGCGCTCGGACGGGATGCCAAGTCGTTAACTGGACAGAGGAGAGTAAAGGGGCGGAAAAATAATTATAATGGAGGTCTGGAAAGTTTGAAGGGTTAACCAGCTTACCAAAAATAAAGCCATGCGGCAAAGTGGGGAGACAAACATTATTAAACAGTTCTAGCCAAGTTTAGGCAGGGGACTATAGCCCCAAAGCAACTTTAAATGTAACCCTACCTAGTCCAAAGAACTCAAGATCAATGTGTGGCACAGTTCCATATCTTATGCGATTTGAGCGCAGCTCCTCATACTTGTGTTCGCCCCAGGCTGCTTGTACGGATTACACAGAGAACCTTTCCCCTTAGAATACCTATGCTTATAACCCACCTAAATCTAGACTCATACTCACAGCGCTCGACATTGAGGCTCACGGTGACCTGCTGGCCGGGAATATAGTTGGCAAAGCCCACAGCCTCGCAGACATATGTGCCAGCATCCTCAATCTGTCCGATAAATTGGTATTAGCTGATTAAAACTTGGCCTAGTTCGGTTGGGAATAGACATACCCGAATGTTGGGGATCTCCAGGCGGCCATTGACATCGGTGAATCCGGGGGGCAGAAGTCGTCCGCCGGGGCGGGACCACTTGACCTTGGCACGGGCGGGACCTTCATCACGGCAACGGAAGATGACCTCGCGACCTGTGAGGGGAGCACAAACACCAGTTAATATGGGACCAAACGCAATCGGTAAACGGCTGACGAGCTAAATAAGATTTTCATACAAGTGGGATTGACATATACAATATTCATGTTGAAATTCATTAGAGTACATTAGTGGCAGGTTGAAATACGATTGATAAAAATATTAGGTAATAATTTGTAAAAATTTAATAGTTGGCAACAGCAACAGGTTTGAAAATAAATCGACAAAATTTGAGAGTAGCTTTTCGAATATCTTATTTAGAATCATGGCTTTACAATTAAATATATCAACAAAATATTTATACAGAAATCCACACTCATATGATACTCAAATACAAATAATACAATTATAATCAAGGCTATAAAGGGTTCTCTAGGGATTTGGTGATTCAAAAATTTCGACTTAATGTACAACTCCATTTCTGGCCAGATTTTGTTCGTGCAGTTTCTTGGTGCTGGTGGTGCTGGGTTCCAAGTGCTGGTCGCAATATTGTCTACACGTATGCATAAAGTGATTGTAGTTAGGCCAACTTACCCTCCCTAATATATCCTGCGGTTTTTATATTTTATTTTGGTTTATATGATTGGGTTGGGTTAAGCATTAACGAGAACAAAGAACGGCAATTAGGGTTGTCCAAAAATATTTTACAATATCATCATAACGAGATTTAAGATTAAGCGATTGCTCCCAGAACATTTAACAAACACAAGATTGATCTCTTTTTTTGTAATACTTTTTGATATATGTACGAGATATTTTTGATATATGGGATACTTACTCTCCTTGATGGTCTGGCTGTCGGGATAGGTCTTGAGGTTCAATTGGGGAGATCCGCGTCCAGTGTTGGTGTCGTGAGCTGTTTTGGAAGAATTAAGGGAAGTGTAAGTCTGGCGAAAAGTAATGGTCTTCTATGGAGCATGGTTGGTGAAACAAGGAATAGAGAGGTGCAGCCTAAACCCTCAATCGCAGTTAGTAGTGGCATAATTCAGGGGAAATCAGACAGTTATTTATTATCTTTGGTTCTGTGGGTGGGTCGCCCACTTACGATCAATCTCATTGCTGATATGACCGCAATCCGCCTCATCGCTATCATCATATGGACAATCGATTCGTCCATTGCATCGCAGGCCCAGTGAAATACATTGCCCATTGTCGCATTTGAATGAGGTTGCCGGGCAGACGACTCTCAGTGGAGTCGTGGCAGTGGTGGTGGTGGAGGTGCTGGTGGTGCTACTTCCTGTGGTTCCTTGGCCGACCTCAACTTGATGATGACCTTATGTGTGTATGTATAAGCGAGTGAATGACGCAGTGTTCGAGCGATGGCGATGGGGGTCTCGAAGTCTGACTGATTTTGGGGTCACCTAATGTCCATACTTACGACAATTCTGTTCATCGGAGCTATCCTGGCAATCGGTTCGTCCATTGCAACGCACTGCGGCGCTCACACACTGGCCACTATTGCATCTGAACTGGCTGGGCAGACACTCGTCGGCTCCTCCGCAGTTGAGTTCATCGGAATTGTCGCTACATTGGGGATAGCCATCGCAGGCGGCCGATCCGGTGACGCAGTCACCATTGTTGCAACGGAATTGATTGGGGGCACAGCCTGTGAGTTAAGGCAAGAATACAGGTCAAATACGGTTTTTCAGGATATCAGACTAAAATTCGCTACTGCTGAAAGAGTAAGGTCAATTTCGGATTGAATGTTATTAATAAAAAAAAGTAAAAAAAAAACGGTGCTTACAATACTCAATGCATGCAGGCAAACTTAAAGCAAACTTAAAATTTTAAATTACCACCGCTAAAAATAATAATAATGTAAGATTTATTTTAATAGTACATAAATTCAACATTAAATTTATTACAAATTAATTTATCAAAAAACTTTATTGCTGGCTGTAAAATGAAGAGAATGAACTGCATAAATTGTTTGATTTATGGTTTTGAATGAATTCTTCTAATAATAATAGTTTCTAAAAATAATTGAAGTAGTATAACCTTGACAAAAATATTAAAAGGTTTTGATAGGACTAGGGCAACTACAGCTATCAAAAACCCAAAATGAAACCAATTCGAATTCTGTTTTATTAACCAATGCAATTCTGCTCATCGGAAAAGTCACGGCAGTCGTAGAAGCCATCACAATGCTGCGTTGAATTTATGCAAAACTGGCGATCGAAGCAGAGAAACTCATTATCCTTGCACAGGATGGCAGTACCTGTATACGAAACTCGTGGTATGGTGGTATGCAGTGGTTTGATTTGGTTTGATTTGGTTTGGTTTTGGTGGTGCAACCCAATTCAAGTGATAGAAAACACGCGCAAAATCAAAAATCACACGACCAAAAGCAGAGTGGAGAAAGCGTGAGAGAAAGAGAAACGGAGTGAGAGATAGAGAATATAGATAATTAGATTAGCAAATGATAAAACACATACGCTATATCAGATGCAGTACGATGTTGGAATGCACAAACTGGACCCTTGTGGAATAATTTCAATAATTTATATAATTTCAATTTGAAAAGGGATGTATTATTTCAAATATTTTATCGGAATTACATAATGCCGACTAAAGTTATATTTTCATTTTGAAAAGTATTAGGGAAATTAAAAACACGATATTCAAAAGTTGTATTCGACACTCAAGTACGATACATTTAGGTTCAATATTTACATAAAATAATCGCAAAAAAGATACGAAAAATACGATTACTTTTGAATTTTGAAGAGCAGTGCAATATGTAAAAACGATATTCATATTTACTCATATTAAACAAATATCTTTTAAAGAAACATACATTTAGTTACGATATTGGCATTGGAATTTGTAAATGTGTTAAGAGTGCGAAATGCAAATACGATACTCATATTCACTGACACTGGTGCTGCTGAAGAAAAAGCGTTGTGTTTACGGATACATCTAGAAGGATTAGGTGCTTAGATAACAAAAGATATATGACAGGACAGGATTTCTTATTGACGATCTTCACAGATGTAACCACAATACCAATTAACGATCAGTGATCCCAAAACCAGTGATGGGGGAGGGGGTTGATGGAAAATGGTGCGATGGCGACGGAAACTTACAGTTCGCCTCATCGGAGCCATCCTCGCAGTGCCTGTGGCGATCGCATCGCTCAGTCTCCGAATAACACCTGCCACTGGGACACTGGTGTTGTGGACATGGCAGTGACTTTGCGGGGCATCCCACCTCGTCACTGCCATCGGAGCAATCCACGTGCCCATTGCATCGAACCGAGCGAAAGCACGACTCATCGCAGTAGAACTGATCCGGAGCGCAGTCACTGGGTTTTAGTCGGGTGGTGGCTATTTGTGGTTATATGGCATCCATAACATCATGCAGGGTTCATTGTGTGTGGTTTAATGGGTGTATGGATGACGCAGCAAGAAAGAGAGACAAGAAAGCGGGATGATTATGCTTATGTCTTGGTTAAGATGGCTCTTAGTCTATGGCCACATACAAACCTGATTCCAACCGGAGAGACTTACTAAACTATGGCTTGATATTTAATGCTCCTATGAAGTGGGGTGGTCACTTGATCTCATTTTGCAAGGATTAATCGATTATGTTCACTTTTAAGAAAGTAATTGATACGAATTAAGATCTCCGATCGTTTGCAAAAGATCAAGTGTGCCCCCACTATATGTGTGTATCGTAAAGAGTAAGTGCAATTGGAAGATTTGACTTGATTACCAGTGCCGAAGCAAACGCTGAGGTCCTCATCGGATCCATCCGAGCAATCCTTAAATGAATTACACACCAAATTCTTATCGATGCACTCAAGAGTCTCACACCGCCACTCATTGGGGCGACAGAGTGTTGGTTTGGGATTTGAAGGACTCGGTTTTTGGACATTTACATTCACATTATGTGTGGGATAGTGGTGGTTGGTCCCTGCAGTGTGGCGTGGTGTAAATGTGGCGTGGATGTTGTTTGGCGGTGATGTTGGTGTAATTGGGTTAGCAAAAAGATGTAACGACAAGACAAGACAAACGATAAACAAATGCTGGGATTGATGGGATAATATGTTGGAAAGGCAGGGAAAGAGTTATGGATAGGGAGTAGTATTAGCATGTTGAGAAAGGCAAAGCATCAGGAGAAATTGGTTTAGGAGATTTAAACAAAGAAATTACTACTTTTCAATCATTAAATTCTGATTAGTTCTGCATTCTTGAATCTTAAATACGAATGCTAATAGAGAAAACAAGAAACTGAGTAAGGTATTCTAAATTTGGGCCAATAGAAACTTGGAATAGAATGGGTAGAAGAACATAAATTGAAAAGACTTCAAACATATTGAAGAAGTACAGTCGAAGAGGAGTAGACCGGAAGGATAATAAATTACTGAATGGATTCGTTACCCGGACAATACATTTCGTCGTAGCCGTCAAGGCAATCGCGTTTGCCATCACACCTAAGTCTCCGATTGACGCAAGTGCCGTTGCAGGCTAGTGTATTAGGTGGACAATGTTTCCTGGCTTGAATTTAGAAAGATAATATCACCATGAGTACTCATTGGAGGAAGACCAAGGTGGATTAACTTTGGTTAAAACCAATCGATTAACTTAGGAGCAAATCAAGCGACCCAAAAGCAAAGCAGCAATCAAAACTAAGTTCTAAGGTGGTGCAGGGGATTTAGGGATACGTTTTCTTTTTCGGTGGCTTAGTGGTTCCGATGGTTTAGTTTCTTGAACTTCTTACCGCAGTGACGCTCGTCGCTGCCGTCGGCGCAATCGGCGATGCCGTTGCATCTCTGATTATCTGCCACACACTCGCCGGTGTTGCAACTGATGGCGGTGGACGATGAATATGTTCGGGTGATGTTCGAGTAGTATGATGATGTGGTTTATGTGTTGTGTCGTGTGTTGGAGTAAGAGCCATGACATGGAAGAGTAGAAAAATGATTATGATATGAAGGTTGAAGAACGGAATGGATAGGATTGGGTTGTAACTCTATGGATCTATTCAGGATTGACCCTATTTGATTTCTTTTTAATTCAATTTTCACTAAGAAAATGTTTTAGTTTAGCAAAGCTATTCCCCATTAAGTTAACAAACTTTATTCTTAAAAAAAAAAAGACTGAACACTTTACATTCAAATAATTAAACGTATGGGGAAGCCTTCTAAGTAAATATTTTCGATAGGAACTATTTAAATCCATTGATAAGCGACAACGATCGAACATTAAAATCGATTATTTCAATACTTTTTATATTCATTGATTTAAAAAGCACTCCTTGAAAAAAAATAAAAAAAAAAATTAAAAAAAAAAAATAAAAACAAAATAAAAAAAAATGAAAATCCCTGAACCCTGAGATATGTATATGCGAATAGGGAATCTTGGTGTTTAGATGGATATGTGGTCTTACAGGTAGGCGTCTTCCCGGCAGAAAGTACAGTTCTGCTCGTCGCTGCCATCTTGGCAATTGGCAATGCCGTTGCAGAACTGATCGCGGGGCAGGCAGTAGTTGTCGCACTCGAACTCTGACTCTAGACAACGGTCTGCGAATAATGAGGCGAATGTGAATGTGAATGGGTGTTGCATGGGAGGTGCATGTTGGCGAGTGATTGGATGGTTAGGATGGTTAGACTTAGTGGTAGTAGCACCTGGAGCCATTAGGTTAGCCCCGATTCTGGGGGGTCTTTACCTGTGTACGACGGACATTCGGACTCGTCGGTCTCGTCCTCACAGTCTACATAGCCATCGCATTTCTTCTCGAGCGGCAAACACTGACTGTAGTCACATTCAAACTCAAGGATATCACATTCATTCAGTGGATTGTTGTCCGTGTCTGTTTATGTTTTTTGTATGTGAGTGTGTTTTTGGTGTATGAAAAGTTGGAAAGATAAAAGATAAATGTTATGTATATTGGCTGGGTCCGGCAGACAGTTTGATAGATTCGTAAAGTCAGGCGGATAGATGCAGGTGCGATCGAAATTGATCTAGTACTAACTCAAGTTCTTAAGAAATACTAAAAAAAAGGTTTCTCTTAAAAGCAATTTATAGATTGTTTCTCTATACTTTAAAGAAGTAGTACGGCAAAAACTTTTCAATTCTTATTAAGCTCAAGGACTCCATAAATAATATCGTTGAACAAAAAATAATATTTCGTGTATCTATTGGTTCGTTTAAGGAATATAAAAACTGGTTAAAAATTATATCTTTTAATAGATAAACCTATCTAAATTGCTCTTAGAATCGTAATCTTTTCTTTGACACTATCTTTAAGGAACCTCTTGGCAGTACGCTCATTCCGACCGCAAATGCAGCGAGTTATAGAGATGATGAGTAGATGGATGGGAGGGACTACCGTAGCTGGGATCGACGTAGTTGAAGATGCAGTTAACTTCGTCAGCGCCATCGGTGCAATCGGGGATGCCGTTGCAGCGTTTGTAGCCGGAGATGCAGCTTCCATCTGTACATTGATACTGGCTTCCCAGGCACTCGACCCCCAAACGAGTTTTATTCAATCTTCCATGGAGATCTTGAGGTCGGAGTTTACAGGGGCGGGCGATGAGTGTTGTGTGATAGCAGGGATAGCAGAGTATTACGTATCAGAGTGTCAAAATACGGGATAGATTTTTACACGGGATGGTTTTTGTGTTTTTTTTGCGAAGAGAGAATAAAACAAAGAGTACAGTTAGCAACAAAAGTCAATAAGAGGGGGGTTTTGAAATGGTGGAAATTTTGTGGATGGCACTAGCAGTTAGCAGTTAAACCAATTAGCAAAGAGCTACTTACTAATCTAAGTTAGCATCCAACTCGAACTCGAACTTATACTAGATTTACGATTAAATGGGAGAATTTAACCAAAAGCTTGTTAGAAAGAGAAGGGTTGATAATGGATAGTGGGAAAGAGAAAGAGAAAGGGTTCGTAAGTATCCCTTAATTTATTAATATTTTCCTATCATTGTCAAGAGTCTAAAGTGAAGGAAAATGTTTCATGACAAGACAGTTTATCCTAAAATATTTAAAGGTACTCAATGGCATTTCCTCAAATGGTTTTCCAAATTACACCCAGAGTTTTATTTTTTAGGGATATTTTACGAACCCCGAGAGATAGAGAATGCTAGAGATGGTACTTACGGCAGGCGCTCTCGTCGCTGCGGTCGCGGCATTGAGGTTTGCCATCGCACACCTGGGATTTTGGAATGCAGCCGCCGCCGCGTTGACATTTGTACTGAGGAAAGCATGAGAATGGGTGTGTGTTTGTACAGGTTATAGAGGTGCTCGGGTGTATCCCACCTCTAACTTGCTTGTGTGTGTGGGGATGTAGGACGTTGTGTTTATATATACTTAGTGCTTATTAGAGGCTTAGTCGTTTTTTGGAAATATGTTTGTTAATATTTCAATACAATAAATAAATATAAATTTGTTTGATAGTCAAAAACGTCTAATGTAACACGTCAATTGATTTCAAACAAGTGTACTAATTATAAAATCTTAAATATAAATAAATTGTTTTTATAAATTGTGATCAAAATAGTTTCGGATAATAACTAATTACTATTCAGGTAAGAAACTCCAATTAGAGTTATTATATAAAATCGATATCAATGTAGGATTAGGATTATATCCAACTGTAATATAAGTCCAATTAGATTGTTCCACCTAACAAGCACTGAGCAAATATTTCGGATGGGGGATGTGTGGCGGGTGGATGGTACAGGTGGGCGGTCGGTAGGCGGGCGGTGGGCTCACCTTGTCGCCGCTGCAGTTGCAAAGAGCGTAGTCCTCGTCTTCCTCGCGTCCGCAGTCGGGGGTGCCATCGCAGACGCTCTCAATCGGAATGCAATCGCGATTGTGGCACGCGAATTCGATGTTTTCGAGGCATGACTGGGATGAGTTGCCTGTATGTGTGTGGCATGGTTTTTTGTTCGGGGGGTGTTGATGATGGGTGACACAACGGGGCAATATGTATAATCGCAATGATAATAAAACAAGCCATAACGGGAACGGAAAGAAAGAGAGGAAGAGTGAGCAATGTTCATATATGTACAAGTTTGAACTGTATGAGGCATATCAATTAAAAGAGTTTAAAAATTAAATGCTTAACTAACTAACTAAGTTGTATGTGTGTGTCGGTGCTGGTTGGTTATGGCTAAAGTAGGTTTCAATGTTTCAAACATGGCATGCACTTTTACTTAAATTTACGCTTCCTAAGCCAACGTGACTTTGATTTGGATGGTAATACAACCAATTACCCTATCCCTTCATGCTCTGTATTCAGTGCAACAAAATTGTTGGGTAAAACGAAAATGTTCTCTTTCTGCGGTAATTCTGCAATAAGTTGATATACATTTGTGTATCAAGTGTGTGTCTACCTTATTTTCATAAGATATTTTCGTTTTACCTTTCATTTTGTTGCAAGAGAATAGCCTGGTTACCCCTAACCCACTAAAGTATGCTTCACTTTCTTCGACTCTCAAGGACACCTACTCGGTACGCCAACTGTTGTTATTGGGTTAGTGGTCGTGGTCTCGATGGTTGTCGGATTCGTTGGCCATTGCCATTTGGGTCCCTCGGTGGTTCTGGTGGTGCTGCTGGCGGTGGTTCTAGTGGTGTTGTAACGCTGTTGCAATCCTGGACCCTGGGTGGTGAGAGGGGGCGTGGCCCAGGTTAGGGGGCGTCGGGTGGTGGTGGGCCGTTGATACTGCTCGCAGGACTTCTCATCGCTCATATCATTGCAGTGATAGAAACCATCGCATCGCAAATGCAGCGGTATGCAAACATTTGTGGTGGTGCAACGGAATTGATTGTCGGCACAGGGATTCTGGGAATTGGCCTTCTCATAGACATTGGCGTGATAAACCTGGTACTCGTACATGTCCTTCTCGTGCAGCCTGTCGTCAAACTTGGACGTCGGTCTCTGCGGATGGTGACCAATGGGAATGCCCACACTATCCTCCTCTTCGGCTTCGCCATCACCTTTTATCGTCCGATTTGTATTATTGGTTGGGGAGGGGTGTGTGTGTGTTACGGTTTATGATAAACACGTTAGATAGCCTCATGCAGACCATGGGTTTTGTGGTTAAGTGGGACGGGGGGTTTTCAGTAAGTCATGCATTTAAGTATAAATATTTTCGTTGAGCCAAATCGTTGATTGTCGATGTTGCAGATTGTATTTCCGAAATATGTTGACGTGCAGTTAATCGATTAATTTTTGGGCGTTCGATAACCACAACCGGGGGGGTTCAAAACACATTTTTATCGGATGGGGGAAAAGAAAAATAAAATTGTTGGAGTTAAAATCAAAATCAAACAAGTATTGATTGACACAAAAACACATCGAGAGGCGGTTACCTCAAAAAGCGATATCAGCGAACGAAGCACAAAAAGGAGTAGGACAGAGAGGAAAGGAGAGACACGAACACCAAGATTTTAGTTACCCACGAAGAGAGCGACAAAGCAGAGAAGGGACAAATACAATCTCTGGGGAAATTTATCGATAATAGTCGATAAAACAAAGCGCTTACCGCAGTCGGCCTCATCGGTATAATCGTTGCAATCGTAAATGTTATCGCACACCTGACGCATCGGTATGCACTCACTGTTTCCGCAGCGGAACATATCGATCCCACATTCTTCATTATCGTAGCCACCTGGCGACGACGATCGATATATAAATACCGATAGCATGCGTTTGTTAGTTCTCTGGTGGTTTGTATTTTTCGAGGTGAGGTGAGGTGACTTTGGTGACTTTTGAGGTGAAGTGACTGGGAAAGGGATGAACTTACCACTTCTCCAGGGAGAATTCTTAGAACCACGAGCAACAATTCGCTAATTTACTCACCCTCGCAGTAGCGCTCATCGGAAATGTCCTCGGGACAATCGATGTTGCCATTGCAGAGCAGCTCCTTGGCTATGCACGTGCCATCGTCACACTGCCACTTGTCGTACAGACAGGCTGCATTCCCATTAAAGAAGCAGAAAAGGAAAAGAGCACGGATTCAGAGGTGGACCATTATCGAGGCTAATTAATCGGCCATTGAAACACCTACGACAGCCCTCCTCATCCGATCGATCGTGCGGACAATCGGCCCGGCCATCACATCGATGCACAATCGAAATGCAGCTCAAGTCCCGGCAGGTAAATTTGCCCTTGGGGCATGTATATCGCAATTTGGGCACAACTGTACCACGGCAGCATGATAGGAAGATCAAAATGATAGATAGCAAGTGATGAGGACATGGAGAGATGGTGAGAGAATGCTGTGTCTTCGGTACGCAGTGTTGCCAACTCTTTTGGAATATGGATTTCAAAATAAGATGACAGATCTATGCAGCTATTACAAAAATAAGATATTCCATAAAACGATTATATTTCGATTCTTATGTCTGACGGAGATCCTAATTAAGAATATATGTACTTTATGGAGCCGGAAATGTCTCCTTCGCGAGCTTTAAACTTTTGACTGAAATTACATTAATTAGCCAATCAATAATTTTAATAATAAGATTGGGCAAGATTTAAATTAAATTCAGTTTGGCACGATTTTTAAACACTTTTCAAAGAAAACCTATTAATTATTTTGATTAGGACTGTTTGTGATGTTGAATTCCATCATAAATCAAAGGGTGACTAGTTGACAACACTGAGTAAATGTAGAGTTCCGAGGGTGGTCGAGTGGATGTGGACTTTAATGGGTGGCTGATGGGTCGTTACTCACTTCCGTCGCAATGCTCTTCATCGTCGCCGTCGCCGCAATCGTAGTTGCCGTCGCACTGCTGACTCACACTGATGCAGCGTGCGCCGTCGCGACATTGATACTCCATTCCGCTGCAGGCGGCGGCTGTTAGTAGTATGGGTTATTGGATCGGTTAGCATGTGGCAGGGGTTAAACGAGAGAAAAAAAGATTGGGTTAGTAGCGTTTATGGCTAATTGATGGATTTCGAGGGACCCTTTAGCCTACAACTTAGTTGATTAAAGCTTAGCTGTTATCAAAGGTGGTGGTTAACAAGGATAACCGACGGATTTCAAAGGACTATTAACACTTATATAGATACTATTAGCCTAGATACTTTAAAGAGGCATAGGTTATTATATTGGGGGTTAAACAAGAGACATAAATAGTGTTAATAGTGCTGTTGGATAACCGAAGTTCTTCGGTGGACCCGTTTATCCCACATCTTAGATACTAAAAGCTGCTTAATCGCCTAGTTTTACCATAGTAACGGGTGTCTTATAAGTATACCCTTAGAAACAATTATCCACTGAGTACTGGGTAGAAGGGTTGCAGAATAGTCTAGATATCACTTACGGCAATCCTCGCTCTCGTCCTCGCCGTCGCTACAATCCACATTGTTATCGCAACGCCTTCTGGCATCGATGCACTGTCCATTGTTGCATCTGAACTCGTTGGCATGGCATTCTGAAAATAAATAAAAAGCGGCAAATTTTATATTTAGAATGTCAGATGGATTTGACAGCCTGCAATTAGATGACAACCGGATGCAGTTTAACAAGGACATCCGCCGGCCCATGGAACCACTTTTACCCCAAAACACCACCCCGTCGTCAACTTGAAAGCAAAAGTTTGTTAGGTGTTTGTTGTGTGACAGAAACCCCACTTCCCCCTCCCCCTCCCCTCGTTAGCCACAGTTTCCTGTGCATGTTTGTTGGCCTTTTGAACCCTTTTTTGCGCCGGACTCTTCTTCGCTTAATATTTCATACAGGAGCAGCACAGCACAAGACTCTTAAGCAATTTCACAAATATTTTTGGATCATTTTTTTTTTTTTTGTTGTTTTGTAGACCCACACAAAGTGACACAACGCGGATTTGATTACAAGCAGCCGGGAAATTCGCGCAGAGGGATATGGATAGCAAAAGAGAGCTGGGGTAAAAAACAGAAGAGCCACGAGCAGGGGCTAATTAAAAGTAAAGAAAAGTTAAGTGAACATTAGAGGGTGTGGGGTGTCGTAATCAGAGCAGCTTAAAGTAAAAGCCAATTCAGGAGCAAACAATTAGCGGAGATTTTACATGATACTTAACAATGCTTTTGCGCATTTTAAGAATTATAATGCAGGTTATTAGAGAATTTAAGAGTTACGTGACTCCGAAATTGGGTATAAGTTACTTTTGGAATAATACAAATAAAACGAACCCTTTGTTGCAGAAACAATATGTGTTGCTAAGCTTTGGACTTTAAATAAACAGGAACTTCTGTAAATTTCAGTTATGTTGCCAAAAACCGAATGAGCAATTAAGACTGTCTTAATTTTTGTGGATTCCTTTGGAGCTGGGGCCATTGGCCCGCCGTAAGTCGACAATTTGTCATCGCGAATGTGGCAGTTAATGTGAAACTGCAGTGGCGAAAACTTAAGCAACTTTCGGGCCGCACACAAATCGCCAAAGTTTTTCTTTCGACAATTTTCAACACGAAGGCGTGGATAATTCCGGGCAACAATTTGACAATTTCATTGCGGACAGGCAGACAGACAGGAGGAAAAGGAGGAAAAGGCGAAGGAGAAGGCGAAGGAAAGGCACCTCAAGTCAATTTGCAAACGGAGGCAAATATGATTTTTGTTTCTTGCCTCTGTTTGTTTTTATTTCCAAACTGCCGCTTATTGACATTAAAGATTCAAATAGTCGGGGCAGACAGACGGGGCACATAAGGGATTTCGGCTGCCAAAGGTTGTTGGGCTCCAATTATTTGGCCAGACGTGTGATCCTAATCCTTTGGACTGCCCCGCACAAACAACAAATTATAATCCGCAAGTCGGAAAACAAGTTTTTCCCTTCTTGCATTTTCTTGATAAAGGTGAAAATAAAAGGGACTCTGTTTTTCCCTTTTCACTTTTTTTGCTATTTTATCGTTAACTTAAAATTTGTATCATCAGTTTTTTTTTAAATTTAAGCGAATTTTTAAGGTCTTCAAACTAAGAAATTTGAGAGGTTTTAGAAAAATAATAAAGAAGTCTTTAAGTTTGTTGCATTGCAGTTGCCAATTCATAGAATCGCAAATTGACTTGCATAAATATTGGTTATATCAATTACTGCTTTTACAACTCCCAATGCCCATAAATTTTGCCCCTAATGACAATGCTGCAGCCACTTCCCTCCGCATTCCCAGATTGCACTGTTTTGCAGCTCCTTTGGCTTCATCTTCACCTCCATTGTTGCATTCTGTCTTCTTCGCCGAGTGTCAAATGGAAATTCCCCGCCCCAGCCAAGCTTTTATTCTTGTTTTTTTGTTGCTCCTTGAAATGGGATCAGTTTGGATGGCAGACTTTTCCGCTTTTCCCCGCTGACTTGCACTTGAACTTAAAGCGCCGCCAGAAAGTATGCAACAAACATACAGTGGCGGCAGGAAAAAGATGGATTGCAAATTAAATTTGTTGCTGAGATTATTTCTATTACTTAGGTTTGTTGATATAATCTTAAAAAATGATTTTTAGTAAAGGAGAACATTTATAATTGTGAATAATTTAAGTATTTGTACTACAACTTATATTATATATTCAATGATAATATTAAACCTCACTTCACTTGTCCTTCAGACTACATATTTTCGGAAGTGCTAATATTTCTGCCGCAGCTGTGAATTTCACCCAACAGAAAAAAGGTGAAAAATGCGGTACGAAAAGGCTGGGAAGACGAGTCGTCCAAAAGGAGGGCTAAATTCGAGTCGATAATTGATACGCGCGGGCGCATGGAAAACGCAAAAGAGCGCCGGCATGCCGAAAGCCGCAAACAAACAAGTTAAGAGGTGTGTGGTTTGGTTTTTTTCGTGGGGAGAGGGGGAGAGGGGGGCCAAGAAAAGACCCCTTGGTAATGTGGAGTTAAGCTAAAAATTGTTCACTCTGCTGACACGAAAATTGTATAAAAATTCAGATGAGACTGCGGCGAGAGGAAAAGCTGTTTAACAGCAATTTGTAAAAAGTATTTTTGATTTGATTATTGCTCGTTAGCGCTTAGCTTAGCGTTCCATCGAATCATTAACTCGCTTTTATGAACAGCCAAAGTGCTTTGGAGGGGGCGGAATTCAAGGCGAGGAATTTTTTGCACTACGATCGACACTAAATCTTGCGTTAGAAGAAAAACAATTCATCTTTAGATAGAGAATTTAATAATTAAAACTAAATTGGGGAACGAATAACCGTAATGTTTAGTTTAAAGCAGGGATTAAAGTGGCAAGGGGTACGGAAATTGGTGAATTGTCTGGCATGCAAAAGTGTTATTACGTTAACCTTGCAACCCCCAACCAAAAAACCTCTTAATTACTGCCCAAAAAACTATCAGCGATAAACATTCGTTTCGGTTTTATGTCTATGACTAATCGATTTCCGTTTTGGCTTTTTGGGGGTGAAAGGAGGGGGCTAACCAACGGGGCGGGGGGTAAAAGGGTTCAACAGGAAGAGAGAGCCATGTCCTGATGCAAATCTGGCATATGTGGCGTATGCGTGATGTCTCATATTATTAATTGGCCAACATTAATGGCAGGAATATAGGAAATGGCCCAGACAGCCTTGTCGGTTCGCTTAATTATGGTCTTCCCATTTGGAAATGAAACTATCTTGGTTATGTTTACTACAGAAAAAATTAAAGTTTAAAAAAATAAAATTGCTCTGGAGTAATAATATAGTGACATTAGAAGAATTTTAACCTTTTTCTTTTTCTTTAAGATCATACAATGTAAGTCTCGTATATTTTTGCAATGCATTATTTTTTAAAGAAATGAGTGGTTTGAGATTTAAGAACCGGTTAGTTTATAGATATATAGATCTATGACAATGATTTGCCTAATCGCAGTCGCAATGGTTCATTTGAAATTTAGGCCTAAGCAGCTTGGTTTTATCAATCTCCGTCACTCAAAACACTCAAATGCCGGCTGGGCCATCATTCACGATCATATTCATTTAGCTATTTGGGCAGAGTTTCGCAGCCCTTAACCCCCTGCTGCCGGCGGGTGCCCGAATGCATGTCAAGTGGCAGCAGAGCGACGCACTCGAATGCCACAGAGACAGGGACACACTCTGATTGATGGCTTGATTCATATTCATATTCATACACTCAAACCCGTGTGTGCACTCACTGTTCTTCGCTCGGCTTTTTCGGCCATGTAAACACTGCCAACAGTCGACGTCAAAATGGCAGCTTAACACGAAGCTCATGAATATGCGCACACTACTCCCTATTCCCCCCTCCTTTGTCATTAACCCTTGGTGCAGCGCGTTATTTAATGAGTCATTAGCTGGGGGGCTGCCAAGGGTTAAGGGTTAAGGGGTCAGGGGGCCGTAGGTCGTAAAGGTTGCCCCCGAGTGTTTAGCTTTCGGTTGCAGTTTGCAGTTTGCTTAACTCGCGATGCGCCGCAAAGAAAGAGAGGGAATCCGTGTCAAAAACCAGTGACAGTTGTCAGTGCAACCCTGCACTGCTATTTTCGAAACCATTTTTGAAATGAAATCAAGTTAACCAAAATATTGTCGTCCCAAAAATATAATGTAAGCTTTTTTTATCTATAGATAGTATTACTGTCATAACACAAAAATTAATGATGGAAAACCAATATGTATTTAACAAGTGCCAAAACACTATTTTCGAAACTATTTTTGAAATGAAATCAAGTTTACCACAGTATTGTCATCTCAAAAGTATTATGTAAGTATTGCCAAGTCTTCAGCTTTTTTATCTATAGATAGTATTACTGTCATAGCATAAACATTAATGATGGAAACCAATATGTATTTGTCTAGTGCCAAAACAATTATGTTATAATAATTATTTATTACAATCATCAGATTATTTTAATACCATTTACCTTAAATGTGGTTCATAATATTACCAAATTATACTAAATTTCTGATTTGCCGTTTTGTCTGTGTGGCAAAAAGGAGGAAAAAGAGGCATTTTCCATGCAGCAGCTGCTGCAGGGGCGACAATTATGTGGCGTCTGCAGTTTTAAGTGCGCCTTCGCATGTGACTCTGTTTGCCCAAGCTCAAGCCGCGGTTCTTTGCCATTGCCCACCTCGTAATCCCCATTTTCCACCCCATTTAACCCCACTCCCCCTTTGGCTCTTCTTCAATCTATTCCACATTTCACTTATTCATTTCGGAACCGTAAACACACAATGAAAATGTCGCATAAATAAGCTCAAAAACAAAAACAAGGACCCAAAAAAAATTAAGCGGCGACAACAACTTGTTGGCCAAAATATCACCCTCTTTTATTTTTTTTTTTTTTTTTGAAACTCCCTGCTAAATCGATGAAATTGTTTGACGTTGGCATGTGTGCCTGCCACGCCTCCTTCTACTCCCCAAAAAAAAAAAAAAAAACAGAAAAAAAGACCTGTCTGCGGGTTAAAGTTTTACCACTGATTTGTCGCATTCCATGCGCAATGTGACAAACGTTAATTTTTGTGGCTTGTTTTGCA